CACTGAGAGAAACATTGTTCAGTTGCCTTCCATACCTGCCCTGACTGGGGATTGAACCCACAACCTAGGTATGTGCCCTGACTGGGAATCAAACCAGCAACCTTTCAATGTACAGGACAACACTCCAACTAACTGAGCCACCAGGCCAGGGCACATCTTAGGATCTTTGATGAAGCTGGCACCCCCACCTTGAAGAGCAGCTCCTGCCTTCTCATGGAAATAAAATACCCACCTCCTCAGATCCCCCTTGTATCTCACAGCACCCTTCACAGCACTTTACATTCTGCACTTTTATACTATACATCTGATTGTTTATTGATGGCCCCTCCCATCAGACTGTGGGCTTTATGAAGGTATCTGGCACATGGCAGGCATTCAGTAGATACACGCTGGTTAAAAGGATGGATCCCTGCCCAGCTCTGGGGTCCCACCCCAAGGAACACCTATTCCCTAGCAAAGGATATTCCACCATGGCCTGGACTCCATTCTTCCGGAAAATGACAATTCTCTGGACAGGGCCACAAGGGTTACATATAGTGTAAAGAACATCCTGTAAAAGCAAAGATGAGCAAAATGAAAGGGCACTGGCAGGTCAGTCTGGCTTGGGGACAGAGAGAAAGGGAAGAAGGGAGATCTCACAGAGGAGCCTAAAGGAATTTCTGCTGGCACACACCGTGGTAATGGAATAGATGGGGTTCAGGATGGTAAAGAGAAGCACACTGTTGACGCTTCGGGAGTCATCCGAGTCTCCAGGGCGGGAGATCTTCTGGCTGGTAGAGTAATTAACAAAAGCTGGGTGCCCAGCAATGTAGATTTGGTTGTCGGCTGCGTAGTTCACAGCATTGCAAGCCCCCAACACATCTTCAAACTCCACCAATGCTTGTCTCTTTTTAGGCATTACCACCACATAGCTGGCAAAAGATAATACAGGTATCAATCCTCTTAGAAGTATGGAGACAAGAACAAGAGAATGACAACAAGAATGGGAGAATGGCCTTTAATTTCCTGTGAACTGACTCCTTCGTGGCCTCTGAACTCCTGTGTATTCTCTCATGGCTTCATGACAAGAACACCCTTGTCTTAACTGGCAGAACAGGCAAAAGAGATATAGCTTTGGCATTACCTCCCCTGGGAAGCCTTCCTTCCTGACCTCTCTTCATCTAACTCAGTCAAAAGCCTCCCATAGATTCCTGAGCTTCCCCTATTGCAGTGCTGATCACTGTGTGGGCAACTACCTGAGGAGTCCAGGACAGTTTTGTTCACTGCTCTATTCCCACATTTACTGAGCATGTGCCACATACTCCGTAAATACTTGCTGAATAAGAAAATGCTGATTAAAAGGTACAAAGTAGATAGAGAAAAAGGGCATGGAACGTAACATAACCTGATCCAAAGTACAAGGGCCAAACCAAGAGCAGAGAAGCCCCAGAACCCATACAAGGGACCCTGGACTGAACTGGCCAAGTCACTTCCAACCAGGAATCGGCGACACATAAGACACCAAAGAGCCAACTAGCCTCTGTCTGAGTGGAGTACCTGATGGGTCCAAACTCCTGCAAGGCTTCCACAAGGTCAGCTTCCACCACACCGTCAATCAGGCCCCTGATGTGGACAACTGGGGAGGCAGGGGTTTTGTGCGGGTCATCGTAGTTCTCCTAAGAAGCAAAAACAAGACTTTATTTTCTGCTGTACGAGATGGTGGTTCACTGGCCTGTGTTGTTGAGAATCTAGTCAGATAAGACAGTCGAGTATCACCCAGGAAGGACACACAAGTCAGACAATAAAGGACAGCAATTTAAGCCAATCACCCCAAAAAGATTCTGGGTCAGCAGAACAGAGGCCCTGAGTGGGCGGCCACTTATGTAATGCCTCTTGCTGTAGTTTCTGAGGAAAGCAGAAGGGAGGACCAGACAGATCGCTTATCTTACATTCATCCCGAAACCTGTCTCTTCCCACTGGTCAACAAAATGGGGGAAAGGAGTGGCTTGGAAAGTGGATACCACTGGCAGGAAGGGCTCACACAATTCTCTGCTGCAGTATGAATCAGGCAATCTCCTTGCATCAGCCCCAACTTCTTTGCCCTGTCCCCAGTAGAGCAAGCTACAACCATCACCCAGTCAAGCTTTACTGTTTCCTACCACTCATCTGCAAGTCCAATCAGGATAAAAGAGCATGGGCCTCAGAAGCTGTGGCAACCAGGCCAGTCCTGACTACTTCTAGTCTTTAATCATTTTCCCACCAAAATCTGTGCTGGGAAAAACATCCTAGGCCAGACTACAGAAAAAGTGAGGAATGTCTTCCAAAAAGATGAGAAAGTTCCACCCACAGACAGCAGCTTTTAAGAATCAGAAATAAAGTAACTTTCTTCACTTCTGGTGGGCTCTAGGCCTCGCCTCCTGTCTGAGCAGCAGGCAGAATTGGATTCTATTTCAGGAATGAACCACACAAACAACAGGAAGCACACACATGTCTGATGGTTACCAGGTTCAGCGGTTTGGAGTTCCACAGCCCTGAATTCTAATTTCAGTTTCTTCCCTCACTAGCTTTATGACCTAAATGAATCTTACCTCATCTCTGTAAGACAAAAATAGTAAAACCGTCCCCTATCTCATAAAGAAGTGTTAAAAATTCAATTAAGATACCTTTAAAATGTGTGGAACAAGGCCTGGCACAGATTAAAATGCTAATAAATCATAGTACAGATCACAGCTGAGCCCTGGAAAACCCTGCAAATGGCTGACTGGAAGAGGACTTTATGAACTTGGAGGGAGGAGGGAATGGGCTCTAAGCCAGAAGGAACAACTGGTGGTCTATTCGGAGGAGATCAAAGAGACTGAATCCCTTCCAAAATGCCCACCCGCAGGGAACATTTTGGTTCGTCAAACCCCCTGCACCCAGTTAACCCCTGGAAATTATAAGCAAACTTGCGATGGCTCCAAAGCTTGGCTCGATTCCCAAACGGCTAAAAAGACCTTTCACAAGCCTTTCTTCCGCTCAATGCCCACAAAATAGGGGCATAATCTATTCTAGGGGAATTATCCTCAAATCGACTTCCGCTTCGAGACAAACCAACACGCTATAAAAATTAAAGTGATCGGACATAATTCCTCTTGGGCGCGGAGAAGGCCACCGCCCACCCGTTCCCGCTCACGCGGTGCCCCCCCAACAGCCCACGAGGCCCAGGCGGGAGAAGTGCGCCTGCGCATGGGGCCAGGGAAGAAAACGAGGAAAAAGCGTTCCGCCTCGTGCCCGCCCCCACCCACACCAGCCCGCGGCGCCTGCGCACTGCACCACCCGCAACGCGAGCTCCCCACTCTAAATAGCGCCTACACGCAAGCGCCTGTCCTCGCGCAAACCCCGCCGTTTGCCCAACGCCTGCCCCTCCCCCACCTCGTCAACGGCGCGAGGGCAGGGGCGCGTGCGCAGAAGCCCCCTCTTCCCAAGAAATACCCTCAAAATGAGAAATTCTCCCTCCCTTCCAGGCCACCCCCGGGCCTATGGCCCTG